GAGAGAGAGAGAGAGAGAGAGAGTGTTTGTTTTGTGTACCTGGGTTCGCCGTGCGTTGCGGCTGGGTGGGGCTCTCATGGCTGCGGTGAGTGACTTGCTGGGGGAGGGGCTTTAAACAGAGAAGAAGACATTAATAAAACTGTCACTCAGTACAAGTAAACACATTTAAACACATTTAGTCACATTCATTTTTTTGTTTTATTACTGAAATGTAAATTAAATCATAATGAACCTGAAACAAATTAGTAGTAGTAGTAGTTATTAGTTTTTTACCACTTTTTTTCTGACACAGATTATTACAAATTATAATAAAAATAGAAGCAACAATTCGTCATTTTTATCATTATTTTCCTCTGATTCCTGTTGAGCTCCATGAAGCTGTTTTAAAAACTTCCTGTTGGTGCGTTCAAGGACACCAGAAAGAAAGAGGAGGGAGGAGAGAGGAGGGGAAGGAAGGAAACAAGGAGAGGAAAGGAGGAGAGGAAACAAGACAAGACCAAAAAGTGAAAGTGAAAGAAATAGAGCTGGTGAACTGATTCTACTGGCTTCTACTGTCAGTCAGGAACCAATCAGAGAGAGGTAAATGTTTCACCTGTTCTCACACTCACTCACACACACACACACACACACACACACACACACACACCATCAGTCACTCATGTTCATCTGCAGCTTCTCATCAAACTTCTCCATTTGCTGTGAACACAGACAGCTCGCCACACAGGAAGTGATGCGTCTCCTGCGTCTGGTTTGTTTGGAATAAACAGAAGAGGAAGAAGAAGTGGAGCAGCTGAAACGTGGCTGAAGAGACGAGGAGACAAGGATACAAGGAGACAGGGAGACAAGGACAGGAGGAGACGACTGGAGGGCAGCAGCGCCACCTACGGCTCAAACAGAGACTCAGAGACATGGCCCCGCCCACAGCGTTTGACTGACAGCTGGTGTCTGGGATTCTCAGAGATAAAGCACGAGGGGTAAACGCAGCATGAAAAGGGTTGTGTGTGTAGTTGTGTGTGTGTGTGTGTGTGTGAGTGAAGTGAGTGAGTGAGTGAGTAGTGAGTGAGTGAGTGAGTGAAGTGAGTGAGTGATGTTGAGGAGAGAGAGAGGAGAGAGAGAGAAGAGAGAGAGAGGGGAGAGAGAGGGAGAGAGAGAGAGAGAGAGAGAGTGTTTGTTTTGTGTACCTGGGTTCGCCGTGCGTTGCGGCTGGGTGGGGCTCTCATGGCTGCGGTGAGTGACTTGCTGGGGGAGGGGCTTTAAACAGAGAAGAAGACATTAATAAAACTGTCACTCAGTACAAGTAAACACATTTAAACACATTTAGTCACATTCATTTTTTTGTTTTATTACTGAAATGTAAATTAAATCATAATGAACCTGAAACAAATTAGTAGTAGTAGTTATTAGTTTTTTACCACTTTTTTTCTGACACAGATTATTACAAATTATAATAAAAATAGAAGCAACAATTCGTCATTTTTATCATTATTTTCCTCTGATTCCTGTTGAGCTCCATGAAGCTGTTTTAAAAACTTCCTGTTGGTGCGTTCAAGGACACAACTGAAAACCCACACTGACGTTATCGTTTTCATAACCTTCTTCAGGTGTTTATCTTCTCGCTTTGACTTTCTAAACAACTAAACCTGTGAATGAATGACATGTTTTTCAGTAGATAACCGAAGCCTCGGCTGTCGGAGCGTCTTTGAATGCACCAACACGTTTGATAGGAACAGTGAAGGTGACTACACGTTCACAGTGACGGATTATTGACGTGAAAAGTTGGTTTAAACTAAAACAAAAAGCTCCTCTAATGGATAAAAACTCATGTAAATAAAGATTTTTTTATTTTCTTTTATTCAGAAAATGGAGGGCAGTGATGTCATGGATCTGAGGTTTGTATTAAACAGGTAAAACAGTTAGAAACACCAGAGTGAAGCTCAGTCTAATGGTCAGTATTCACCTTGGGGAGGGGCCGGCCGAGGAGTTGGCAGAGGTGACTCCGCTCTCTCCTTCTCCTTCTCCATCTCCTGCTCCATTAATGGTCCCTGCTGCCGACATCACTGTTGACATCATGGCGTTGATGGAGGACAGGTCACCTCCTCCTTCAGCTCCCATGATCCCTCCTCCTCCTCCTCCTCCTCCTCCTCCTCCTCCTCGGTCTCCATTCTGAAGCTTCTCTCCTCCGCTCGCTGCCGCCTCCATCACTCCGTTGATTGCTCCTGGAGGAGAAAAGATTTTAACACATCAGAGAAAATTACTTTTTCTTTAGCTAAAACACAAAATTTTTTTAAATGAGGTTTTGTTTTGTACCTTTGAGGTTATTGTGCGTTTTCTCCTCTGTTAGCTCCGCCTCCTCCTCGGTTATCTCAGTGTTGGCTCCTCCCCCTTCTTTCAGCTCCTCTGTGGAGTTTTCCATGACTGCTAAAATGTGAAAAGAAAAGAACACTAATTTAACATATATAAACAAAACCAGGCAGGACGGGAACAACTTCAAAATAAGACTACGCTTAAAAAGGATTTATGGATGATTTATAACTTGTTTATTAATTAGCTTGTTTCATTTATCATCAATTACAAGCTGTTATAACACATTAGATAAAAAGGCCAACAGTGAGCTGTTGGTTGCCAAATAGTGAGCCTTATATCTCTCTTCCTGCATCAACGTATGAAAACTGTGTAATAACTAGTTTATAATTGTTTATTTATGATATATAAAGTGTTAACAAACGAATTAATAACCTAATTATAAACTTCTTATAAAATATAAATAAAGATGATGCCCATCTTTCCTCCATTTGTTCAGGTTTTCTTAGGATAAAATATGTCACACCAAACTCCATTGAAAAATCTGACAATTTAAAGTTTATATCCGTCCTGTCGTCCAGCGTCGCCCACACAACCCTTAACGATATGTGGGTTCAGCTGTCGCGTGAATGGATGGACGCCAAACTCCATTAAGAAATCTCACAATTTAATGTTTTTTTGGTATATAAGTGAACATTAAAAGCTTAAACAGCACGAGTTGAAACATTTAATCAATCATCCGTTCCTATCAATAACTGATTCACCACACGGGGCTTAGTGTCAATTAATACACCTTTCACTACCCCACAGACTGTATGTGGGTCAAAGGAGATAGTGGGGAGAAATATAAAAGGGGGAACTTGTACCAAGTGCTGCTGTGATCCACACTACAGACCGGCTGCTGGTGGATCTTGAGAGGTCTTAACTCATCGTCTACCAGGTGCTTTGTGAGTCAACTGAGGACACGTTGAACGAGCAGATTTTTCAGTGGAGGCTGGTGTGTGAAGGTTGAAGGTTAACTTAAATTAGAATCACAAAGGAGCTCTGAATGTTGGCCGGTAGCTCCGGGTTAATTTCCCAACTGCACTATCTGGTTTCACATCAGGAAATTTATTATTTTTAAAAACTTATTTGACTCTACACGAGTGAATTTACAAAGCCTGATAACGACTGAGCAGAAGTGTGAAAGAGCAGAAAACGTAAACACAGTCAACAGTTAAACAAAATGAGAATAAAACAAAGACAGGATGTAGTTTGTTTACACATTAAAGCTCCTCAAAGCCATGAATTCACATTATTTCTGCATTGTCCGCACATTTAAAAGGATCATAAACACAGCGCTCCTGCCCACAGCTCTTTCATTACAGCATCCTCAGCTGCTCCACGTTTCCTATCAGTTTCTGATTTATTCCGACAGTAGAAACACAGATGAAGATGTGAAGTGAGACAGCAGAGGACGCCAGCCGTGACCTCTGATCTATAAGAGCAGCGTTGGCTCGGCGCCCACTGGACCAGAGGGGACCAAATGTGGGGTGTACACTCCTCACACCTGCCTCCAACATGGCAGAGAGACAAAGAGAAGCACAGGGGAAAGAGGAGAGAGAGAGAGACAGACCTGTTTTTGTGTGTGACAGTGTTTTCTGAGGGAATAGTAAGAATTTGATGGGCGTGAAAGAGGGACGATGATGGGGCAGAGGAGGACTGAGAAGAAAAAGAGGGGTTTTCTCAGAGACGAGAGCAGAAGAAGAGAGGTAATTGCTGTTTCCTGTTTGGCAGCCCCCACAGGAAGACGCTCTCCAGAACCGGCCACTTCCTCCTCCAGCTCAGCTCAGAGAGAGGCTCTGTGTGTGTGTGTGTGTGTGTGTGTGTGTGTGTGTCTCACAGGATGGGAGAGGGTGTTTGACATTCCTCGTTCAAAGCGAAGAGAAGGAAGAGAGAGAAGCAGCGAACACACAGAGAGAGAGAAAGAGAGAGAGAAGCTTTAAAATGATGAAAGTTCAATGGCGTTTGGTGAGAAGGAGAAACTGAAGAAATAAATACGAGATGATCAGTTTACGTCAGTTTATGTTCAGTTACTAATGTTTTAAACCGATTTAACCAAAATGTAGAAACAAAGTAAAACCAAAGAGCCTGAAACAGAAGTAAGGAAGTGAAAGTATAAAAAGAGAAAGCAGTAATATCAACTACAGGCTCCAGCAGGGGACAAAATACACATCAGATCTAAAAACTTAGATCTTCTATTTTATTTCAGGATGTTCAGAAAAATCTGACAATGTTCTGATCCAGAAGCTCATTTTGCTCATTGCATTTTGCTTTTATTTCATTATTTATTCCTCCATACACACTGTATTTATTATGTATTTATTTATTAGTTTAAGTGTTATTGTTTATTATTTATCATTAACTATTATTATTATTATTATTACTACTTATGCTACTGGACACATGAATTTCCCTAAGGGGATAAATAAAGTATCTATCAAATATACCATACATGTAAAATATTTTTATACATTATAATATAATATTTCTTTAGTTTTTATAGTTTTTTTTATATGCTGCTTGTACTTTTCTTTTTTCTGTTACTTTCTCACAACCTTTTTATTTAAACTTTATCCCTTTCAAAGTTTAAAATCATGTACATTTATTAATTTATCAGTTGCTGTGTTTGGTTATAGGTTTGAATTAAAGTGGGTCAAAACCACAGTGAAGGAAAAAGAAGAATAAGAAATGAAAGTAAAAAACAGAAAGAGAAAGAGGATGAGTCGAGCTCTACGAGTGACTGGTGACAACTGGCCGGGTGTGTGTGTGTGTGTGTGTTGTGTTGTGTTGTGTTGTGTTTCCACTGACCTCTCCTTGTATCACTGCTCTTACATGACAAACTGTAACATGGTCGTGGCAGGTGCATCAACTCACACACACACACACATACACACCCACGCGCACACACACACACACACACACACACACACACACACATCTGAAGCTTATCCCCGGATTGTTTTTTACATTAGCATCATTCGTCTTCAGCACACACACACACACACACACACACACACACACACACACACGCACACACACACTCTGGGACGCTGTGATTGGCTGCTGGAGTGCTCAGGCAGCACTTTTTACAGCCTGCAGAAACGAACGGCAACAGATGGCTGCAAGAAGAGAGAGGTGGAGGAAGGAGGGAGGAAGGATGGAGAGCAGAGAAGGAGGGGGAAATTAGGTTTTCTCGAAGGAAGAAAGGACGGAGGAGAGGAGAGAAGGAAAGATGGAAGGAAAGAAAAGATAGGATGGGAGATGAAGGAAAGATGGATGGTAAGAAAAAGAAAGAAAGCGATAAAGGAAGCAAGGAAGGAAAGGAGAAAAGGAAAGAAGACATGAAGGAAGGGAGGATGGATGTAGGAAAGGAAAGACACTGAGTTCCAGTGCAAGAGAAGAATAAATAAATACATTTAGTTTAATAAAAAGTGTTAAATCCTGATTTTAAAAAAATGTGGGAAAATGTTTTTCAAGTTGCTGCTTTTCTTTGTCATATTTTCTTATAAACTGAATTTTTGGGTTTTAAACTTTAAGTTGGAATTTACACTGAATAAAAAAAATTATTTAATTTTGATTTAATTCTGATTTATTTGTAGTTTTAATTGTAGTTTTTATTATTCCTATGATTCTATCCTGTGGTACACGACCTTATTTCCCTTCATGGATCACTACACTGTTTTCTGATCTGATCAATATTATCTATTGTTTCACATGATCATGAAAACAATTTTTACCTGCAGCTCTACACAGGTGAGAAGAGCAGCAGAGGCTGATGGGAATGTCAAATGATGACCTGACAATGGTGCTAACATTTACAATAATAGAAACAAAATATATAAAATATATAAAATATAATGTCAAACAATAAAATTGTTTGTTTAGCTTCTATTTCTCTTTTGGATCCTTTTTAAATGTGTTTTTTAAAAGTGTGTGTTTTCTTCATGTCTTATGTTAAACACTTTGAAAAGCCGAGACACATATAAACCTTTCCTTCCCTGCACTCAAGTCGCCAGGACAACCTGCTGGTGGCGCTAGGGGAGAAATCAGCAGGATTCAACTTCTGGGGAAAATTAATGTCGGCAGCAAAGTTCATTAAAATCTGAATAAAAGGGTAAAAACATTAAAAACTGAGTCATTTCTGGATCAATAACTATTAATCTCTCAGATCTGATCAAACACTCACAGTGTGTGTGTGTGTATTTCTGTCTACACTGCACGTACATGACTGATGAATACACTGTGTGTGTGTGTGTGTGTGTGTGTGTGAGTGTGAGTGCAATAGCTGATGTTACTACATCTGTTCCCAGCCATCATTCTCACACCGGCTTTGACACTCCCTCCTGACTCACACACACACACACACACACACACACACACACACACACACACACACACACACACACACACACACACACAGCGCTGACATTCTTGCACATTCATGCAAAAGCAGAAAAAAAAGGTCACCATGTGGGAGCCAGGGAGTAAATGGATGTGTTTGTGTGTGTGTGTGTGTGTGTGTGTGTGTGTGTGTGTGTGTGTGTGTGTGTGATGGAAAAGTCATCTCTTTGAGCCAAAGTGCTGCAAACAAAGACGCCTGCTCCATGTCTCCATCCCTGCCTCCTTTCCATCTCTAACTTTACCACTCCATCCTCTTCCTCCCTCCTCCTCTTCCTCCCTCCTCCTCTTCCTCCCTCCTTTACGCTCCTGTCTCACAATGTTCTTGTTTTTCTGTTTGTTCTTTAAACTGTTGCTGAAACTAAAACTCTGTAGGTTCAAGTTCTGACCACCAGCATTTCATCATCTCTGAGTCATCATGTTCTGTGCAGCAGCATTTAGGCAAACGGGTCTAAAACACTACAATACCCATGAGCCTCGGGCACCGTTGCCACGGAGATGGGGCCAGTCAGAGGCGGGAATCTCACAACTGGGCTGCTTTAACCAAAAACGACTGAAACGAATAATTGATAATCAAAACAGATTCATTTTCTGTCGCTCGACTTATTGACTAATTGTTTGAGTTGCCATGACGACCACATTCCAGCAGCAACCACATCAACATCCAAGTCACAACCACAAGTTAGGAAAGTGAAATCCAATTTGGTGCTTAATTATATAGAAATGAACCAAAAGAGCGCGGACTCGTCGTGTTAGTCCCGCTACACAGAAACAATTCCCATCGTCGCACATCAACATCGCACTCAACGCAGAACCGTCGATACATCAACAGAAAAACTGTTTCAAACTGAACAGCTGGATACGACTGAGACACACTCACCCATTACTTACTAAAACAGAGTGAATCATGGATCTTTAACTTACCGGAAAGATGTAAAGAGAAGCTGCGTTTTAGGTCAGTTTCACCTCGTGTTCACCAGTTAAAAGAGTTAACTGACGACTTAGCATGACACAGAAAGAACTGTTGCCATGGTTACATGCGGTTTAATTAAGAGTAGGCACGTGGAATGGTAGTTAAACTGTTCACTGAAAGTTTCAAACTAATCAAGTGACTGTCCTCTGATTATTTAATTGTCTATGAGCATTTTAAACTTTTTTGGCTTTTTTCCGGGTCGATCTTCACACACTCGTCAGTGTCAACCATTGAAATCAGTGGATGGAAGTTAAAAAAACTGCATTTACACGCAGGATATAGACATAAATATAGCAAATATAATGCACTATAAAGTAGTTACAGAGTAGTTATAAGGACATTTATAACAATTAGACTTGCAGCCCACAGGAAGAGTTACAGCCAACGTCATACATTAATAAACACTAATACCTGCTTACAATGAGGTTCTTGTGTGTTATAAACCATCTATTAAACGCTTACTGCTTTATAAGCTAAACAAAACAGTAAAGAAATGAACAGTGGCACACTCTGGTCTGAACAAACCTAACTGTAACAAACTGTGGCTATTTATTTTGGGCGTGAAGGGTTTTGGCAAATTGCCTCGACCTCAGCTCTCGGTCGACCAAACTGGAAACCTCAGCTGAAAACACATTTTCTGCCCAGGGTGGGAAACATTTCATCATCAGTTACCGGGTAAAAAGCTCTGTGGTTTCTAAATGAGTCAACTCTACCAAATGGTTTGGCCGGTAACAACACATCATTCAGTGGTGATTTCATGTTAGAATTAGCCATTAGCTGAAACTGTTTAGTTTCCCGTCTCATTTTCTGGCCTTCAGTCACACTGAGGTCAACGATTTCACAACATAAACCTCGTACTGTGCGTGGCACCTGTGTGAAGATGTAACCCAGTGACAGTCATTACAGAGGAGGGGGAGGGGTGATGGTGGGGTGGGGGATGGACGGATGAAGAGATGGATGGAGGGAGACTTGAGGAGGAGGAGAAGGAGGAGGCAGAAAAGTTTCCTGTCACCTAAACCCCATAAATCCTCTCCGTCCCTGCCTCCTTTCCTCTGACATGACAGCTGAGACATAAAATCTGGACAGCAGAGTCCCAGCAGGGGTCTGCTTCACGTTTCTGTCCCTTAACTACAAGAACCAGTCCACAACTTCTTTTTGTTGTTACTTTAAGTGTATGATGTCTCTCAATGTAACTGTATTCTGTTTAAACAACCACATAAACTTCTGAAATAAACCTGATTTTAACTCGTGTTAGCAGCTGAGGTAGTTAACTAACATCCATTAGAAGTTCTGACATTGTAACTAGCATCTCGCATGAATTATATTGAGTGAGAAGGGTACACACACATTCAGTAGCCATCAGCTAGTTTGGAGCTAAAACTTAACCTTTTGTTTTCAATTAACTGACCGATCACTGTGTTTACAAAAACATCAAAAAACATGCTAAATACCTACGACATGTTTCTAAAATTCACAGTTCAACTCATTTATGCTAATTTTAAATTAGTAGCATCTTTTGTGATGCTAGCTGCTTTTAAAGCTAATAAACTAGCATTGTGTTGCACTTGTAGCATCCCCAGAAAGGTAGAAAATTCTTAGTTTTTGGTGAGCTAAATGACATTAGCTTATACTCCACTATCTAGTAAGTCTTGACAGTGGTAGACTAGCATTAGCAGGTAGCATTGTTAGAGTATAGATGCAGCATATTATTAGATCTACATCCAAATGTGTAATATACATTTTTAAGAGCGAATGGAAAGCTCTTGCAGTGTGTCAGTTGTTTGTCGTTAGCTAAACCATGCTAGTCTGGTTAGCCTCTAGAGACAGTCTTATGTCTGAGCTAGAGTTTAAAGATGTTTATTGTGTTTCATAAATACTTAAATGTTATGTTTCGCCTTTTCTTATTCTTTGTGTTTTACCGAAGATTAACCATGAACTGTGTACTGTTACATCTAAGCTAATGATGTTAGCAGCCCGCAGGCTAGCATCATTTACAGCCCCAGAGAGCCACGGGCAAACTGACAAAACTGACACCTGCTGTAGAAAGCAAACAGCCCCACAGGACTCTGTCTGATCCTCAACGGCCTCCTCTCTCTGCTTTTAACTCTTCCTCTTTTTTATCTAACCTTCTCCATTTATATTTATATCACTCTCTTTTTGCGAGGTGAGATATTTGTATCGGTGCGTCCTCCTGGGTGTCAGCTAACAGTCTGTGTTTAGCAGACGTGAGGAGAGGGATGGAGGGATGTATGAGGAGAGAGATGGAGGAGTGGGGGGGGGGGGGGGGGAGGGGGGGGGGGGGGGGGGGGGGGGGGGGCAGGATCCAGTGACCATATGTTGGCTATTTATTACCTCCTTCTAACTGCTCCTCTTTTTCCATCCATCTCCTTCTTCATCTCATTGAAACCGACTTCAAAGATACAGACGTACAGAAACTCAGTCCACATTCCTTTAATACACATCCAGGCAGCTCTAGCCTATATTCAACCAGTGCATTCTGAATTACCAACAGCATGTGTAAAGATAAACTGATGATAATTGATCAAAATACAGTCCTTATTAAAAATTCATTCACTAAAAGTCTATATTGTATTAGCTTTGCTTAGATCAAGATTCATGTCAAACCTAATGTAAAAATAACAACATACCACATCAAAATACTGATACTAGCATCTAAGGCTAAGTAAGCTTGCTAACAGCTATAAAGGCCATGTTAATCTTTAAAGCTTTATGAATTATTTTCTTTTAATCTCCATGAGGAAGTGATGTAAAACAGAGCTACATGAAGGTTAAGTAATTCATACACAGAAGGACAATTTGTGCACCACCATTGCGGAGTAGCTCCTACTAGCACCTGAAGCTAATTAGGCTAAAAAAAGCACTGACAGAGTAACTATTCTGTCAGTTTAAGCTAATTAGCAATAGTCAGCTAATGTTAACTGTATATGCTGTTATTGCAAAAAAAAAAAAAAACTACATGGCAGCCAGTTATTTATAATTTAGTTTATTTATTGCATTTATTTATAGGCTTAAAATATATTATATGTTTGACGAAAAATGTTATGAATCCGAAGCTATTTATGGTCACTGTGGTTAGCATAAACAGCAAAGTTTGTACCAAAGCCACATGAATGTGAAATAATTTACACCACGCTAACTCAGCATCACAAAGAATTACTGTTACTAGCACCTGAAGCTAATTAGAATACATAAGCTATCTTTGCTCCATTGGCTGTACTGATGCTGGCAGCTGAAGCTAATTAGCTTGAGACAACTGAACCAACTTTTCAGCTGCAGCAGTTTCATGTAATTACTTTTTATTCCTAAAATCGCATCTTAAAATGTGTTGCAAATGTTTTTTTAGAATAACTGTTTACTGTGCAAGTGGTTTCATGGTTTAATTAGAAATGCTCACTTCCAACCTACAATCAGACACACCTGCTGTAATAGTATTTCCTCTTCTTTCTTTGCACTTGTGGCCAAATTATTCCAGTAACTTATTACAACTAAACGTCCAACACTCAAGCTTAAACTCCACAGTAATAATCCCAGGTCAGCACTGCAGAGGTGGCTGTACATTTCCATTTAACTGATAATTGCTGAAATTGATGCATTGTGTTTTTGTCAAATAATCTACTGCAATTATATGAAAGAAAAACAGAAACTTTGTTTAATTTACACAAAAACAAGAAAAGTGATGAAAGTATTTTGGCCGATCAGTCTCGTAATCAAACTAGCTTCAGAAACTGAAAGAATCTCTCTCTCTCTTTTATCTCTTTCTGTTTCTGAGTCTCTCTCGACCACAACAGGAAGCCCACACTCACGGGAGTCACAAGAGAGTGCTTTGCTGCTTCCCCATGTGTGAGCGAGTTCGGAGCGAGAGAGATTGATGGGCATTCTCTCTCTCGCTCTCTCTCTCTCTTTCTCATTGACCTTCTCCCCCGCGCCCCCCCCCCCCACCCCCTTCCTTCCAAACCACCATCTAACACTCAGCTGCCATTACCCATCCTCCACTGCTCCTCCACTCCTTCCTCCGCTCCCTTCGCTGCAGTACTTTGCCCTAACTTGTTAACACACACTCATGAAACTACACAGAATATCCCAAGGCAGCCACAACGCTTTCTCTTCAAGCTACACGGAAAGAAGTATGTGGACACCTACGTGATCAGTGACCAGTTTCCCTCTTCCAAACAACATCCACATCAACATGAAAGCTGTAATTAAAACTGGGAAAATTAAATATTTCTGATGCTTTTTCTGGCACTGAAAATTAAGGCAGTGCTATTTAGAATCACCCTT